AAAAAAAAATTACACAACGATTAATTATAATTTCACTTCACCGACTCACAGGGGGTGTAACGACGATGGTGCCATTTCTGAAGAAATTTTTCCCGTCAATATTGCGAAAGGCGGCAGAGGCTAAGACAAATGTCTATTGTGTTTATGATAGCGAGGTTCTGACGGCGTTCACATCCTCCCTCTACATCGCTGGCTTAGCTGCTTCGCTTGTTGCCAGTCGCCTAACTGCAGTATTGGGCCGCAGAAACACCATGGTACTCGGTGGCTGCACCTTCTTCACCGGAGCTGCCATCAATGGTGGAGCTGAGAATATAGCCATGCTCATCATCGGTCGTATCTTGCTTGGATTTGGGGTTGGTTTCACCAATCAGGTAACAAAGACATCACTCATTTGTCATTTCTCAGCTTAATTAACAATGCATTTTCTTTCTATCAAACAAGACAGAAAGCTAGTTGAATTTGTAGTTTGATTATTGAGCCTTCAGTTAATTAGTTCAAGATCTCGAGACTAAGGTCGCACACAAGCTTGTTTGACATTTTCGTACGTTGGTTTCTCAAAATTTTTCTTGATCAATGAATTAGTGTATATTGTGTTGAAATTGTTGAATGTGTACTTGATATAAAAGAACAAAAAGGGTTGAATTGCGATAAATATCAGGGGTGTTTGGATTAACTATTCAAATATAATGAATAGCTATAATAGATAATTCTTGATTACTATTATTTATAATCTGTAATATTTAATTCATTTAATTAGAACTAATTAAGTTGATACGGTAGTTGTTTTTGAAACTCAACAACCACCCTTTTAAAAGTTAAGGGGCTTTTTGAAGTTTATCATAAAATTAAACAGTACATTTTCTAAGCCTTTTTCCTCTTATGTGTTGAACTATTAAAGGCAGCTCCGGTGTATCTCTCAGAAGTGGCACCACCGAAATGGCGAGGCGCCTTCAACACAGGCTTCCAATTCTTCATAGGCGTAGGGGTGGTCGCCTCCAACTGCATAAACTACGCCACTGCAAAACACAGCTGGGGATGGCGCGTCTCCCTTGGCCTCGCTGTAGTACCCGCGGCAATCATGACAATAGGCGCACTCCTCATTTCAGACACACCTAGCAGCCTGGTTGAACGCGGCAAACTTGATCAAGCCCGAAAATCTCTCCTCAACGTCCGAGGGAAAGACGCCAATGTAGAAGCCGAGATAACGGAACTAGTCAAGGCCAGTGTGGTGGCTAAAGCGGCCAACCAGGAGCCATTTGTGACAATATTTGAGAGGCAATATAGACCTCATTTGGTCATGTCAATTGCCATACCATTTTTCCAACAGGTCACGGGGATTAACATCATCGCATTCTATGCCCCGGTTCTGTTCCAGTCGGTCGGGTTTGGCAGCGACTCGGCTTTAATTGCATCGATCATACTAGGGCTCGTTAACCTTGGTTCGATACTCGTGTCAACTGGTGTGGTTGACCGGTTTGGTCGACGATTTCTGTTCTTGATAGGTGGGATTCAGATGTTCCTTTGTCAGGTATGCATGGACTTCGGTTTCTTTCTTTTTAAGTTAAATGCTAAATTTGGTCCCAAACTTTTAATTTGAACAAAATTTCATCCTTCAACATTTTTTTGCACTTTTTTTGTCCCCAATTTTGAAAAATGCATTTTTTACCATTCATAGACCGAAAAATGCAAAAAATAAATAAGGAAATAAAAATGTTTAAATTAAAAATTTAGAGATTAAAATTGACATTTAACCCCTTTTTTTAATGGACGGGGAGGTTAGGTTGGAAATTAAGGAATAGACCCAATTTACTAGTTGGTCATCTAATTGGGTTTCTTTTGTGAAGGTTGCGGTAGCTATTGTGCTAGCAACAACAACAGGTGTTTCGGGAACGAAGCCCATCTCCAAGGGCTATGCCATTCTGGTTCTGGTCCTGATGTGTATTTATGCAGCTGGTTTCGGTTGGTCATGGGGCCCACTAAGTTGGCTCATTCCTAGCGAAATCTTCCCCATGAAAATCCGGCCCACGGGCCAGAGCATCAGCGTGGCTGTGAATTTTGCAGTCACCTTCGTTTTGTCCCAAACCTTCTTGACCATGCTCTGCCACTTCAAATTTGGCACTTTCTTGTTCTATGCCGGCTGGATCGCTGTGATGACCATTTTCGTCGCTCTGTTCTTGCCGGAGACAAAAGGGATCCCCCTCGACTCCATGTATACGGTGTGGGAGAAGCACTGGTATTGGCGCCGCTTTGTTAAGGTCCAGTTCTAGCCTTAACGTGACATATATGATTTAAGTGTAATTTCTAGGAGCTGTGAAATATTTGATTGATATTCAAATTACCATGTTTATCTTTATTATTTCTTTGATTATGTTTTTTATGGTTCTAAAATGTGTGTAAATTAAAGAATTTATGAAGATTCATCTCTCTTCTCGCATCATCAAATAAAACTTGACAATTGGATATTGTTAAGATTTTTTTTTTTTTTTTGGTATTTACAGTTAAAATATTTTTTAGTCAATTTTTACATACTTTAAGATTTTCTTTTTTACTTTAATGGTTGGGAGCCTATGGCGACAAGGGAGGTGCCTGGGTTTGTATGGAGGAGCATGGCCCTCCTATTGATTGAAACTGTTTTAGGGACGACATATAGTGGGTTGGGGACTACTAATGTCGAATTTTCCTTGCTCTCCCCATGAAGCTGGCTAAATATGTGAGGACATCCAGTAGTTTTAGACACTCATGGTGACCTCCTTTTCTACTTTTGTAACCCTATTTTTGCCCTTACAATGATTGTAGTTACAATTTTTAGTTACAGATGGCTCTCTTCGCTTAATTGTCCATATATGTTATGGGTACAGTTTAAATCTGTTACTAATACTGTAGGTTACGCTTCTGTTCTTAATTTGACTATAATGCCCTGCTAGAGATTCATCTGTAATCTCCTTATATTTAATGTAATTCTCTATTTCCTATCAAAAAAAAAAAAAAAGAATGCACACTCACATTTAAATCCTAAAACTAACCTACAAAATAATACTTATTTATTAGTAAATCTAACCCTTAAAATTAAATTTAAAAAAATGCTTTAGAATATATATAGTTTATAGATAGTACTAAATGATAATATCCAATGCCAATGCAAGACTGATGAACTTAATTACTCAATGATAAATTTGTGATTTGGTCCCTTTTATCCACCACTGCTATGATGTTGATGGACTTGTGGCATTAAAGATATAGGTTCTGCTTCATGTTGAGCAGTTATAATCAAGAGTGGAAAGAAATATAAAAACGATGGTTACCAGAACTAATAATTTAGGAGAGTGAGAGGGCAAGTATATGTACTACATTAAGTCAACCTTCCTCACCACCTAATATACTGGCGTTTGTTTCCACCTTATAGAAACAGTTATTATTTATTGGTTTTAATTAAACAAATTATATATTTTGAATTGTAAATATAAATGATTATCAATTGTTAAATATTAATTCTCGACTATCAACTATTTCAAAAAAGCTAATCCAAGTTACCAGTGAAGAAGTTAATACCATTTTGTATATCGATTGATACATATTAATTTTTCAATTAATCCAAAACAATATAAGTTTAAATTTCACTTCAATCAAGTTTTGATCATTTCAATCAATTTTTAATGTATCAATCAATATTTTGTGTATCAATCAGTACATTGAAATTCAACCAGTATAAATATGTTTAAATTAAAAAAAAAAAAATCTCAAGCAAAACGACATCATTTTAACTAGGGGCTTAAATAACAGAAACCCTTACAATTTCATATTCCAGTTCTCCTTCTTCAATGCTCGCCGCCAATGGAGGCTGCCGCTGCTCTCTCTTCCAAGTTTCAACTTTATTTCTTCCACTTTCTAAGCAACAGCAACAGACCTATATCTTTGTTTCAGAACATATTTTGGCGAGTGTCTTTCGATTTTCAGAGCATGAGTCTCCTTAAGTTTTTTTTTTCTTCAATTTTTAGAGTATGAGTCTCATTAAGTTGTATCTGTGAGATATCCGATAGATATAGATATATACCTCTAGAATTCCATGACTAAAGGTACTCGCTCTGTATGCAGTATGCACTATAGTCAGGCTGCCGGTACTAACAAAATTTGCATGCTGCTAGCCCTGACGTAAAATTGAATGCACAAAAAATTATGGAGGTTTTATAAAGTTGGTAATTTTAATCTATTTTCAATTTATAAGAATACGATGGTTTTAAACATTAGTCTTTTTAATAATTATTTTAAAGTTTAATATTTTATTTATAAAAATATATATTTATATTGATAAATTTAAAATAATATGTAAAAAATTTTGATATATAATATTATCGCTTCAATAATAAAATCAATAAATATTTCAAGACGGTATTAATTCTTCTTACTATCAATTATTTTAAAAAAAACTAATTCAAACCTATATATATATATATATATATATCTGTTTACATCCGTACATATGGTGCATCATCATATACGTAAGTAATATGCATGCCTTTTTTTCTTTTTCAGTTTAGCGGTGGGGTATCTTTTAAGTTATGTGTACTTTAAAATTAAACCATTTTTTTTATCAGGTTAAACATATGCTAACCACCATTCAAGGTTAAATAATTCATAAAAAATTATTTTTTTTATTAATTTTAAAAAAATTTAAATCTTAATCAATAAAATAAGAAATATGCCCTTTCACCATTTAAACTGCAACTCCTCACATGTTCTTTTATACTCTTCTAAACTAGACTACATTAATTTTTCTATTAAACTCTTGTTTTCATTTACCTAAGTCTTTCAGTTGATTTTAAGAAGTGGGTTTGAATCAAATGCGGTGTTAAGGTTCTGTTATATAATTAAAATGATGCCAAGGTTCAAGTTACTAGAACGAAATTGATCTTGCAAAATTTTCCGTGTGTTTTTGTAAATAAAAAAAAATTTCTAAAAACAAAATTAGTGGCATTAAGTTTTGTTTTTTTGCCAGAATAGCAATTTATGGCTTTTGAATTTTGACGTCAACATTGTTCGGTGGAGCATTAGGCATGACGCATGAGTATCCCCTTACTTATAAATATCTTATTTATTTAGATAAGTACTATATTTGAATTGTAATAAAAATAAGTAAATAATAGATATAAAAATAATACATTTATAAGTATAAAGTTAATTAATAAATATAGGAGTTTAAAATTATTTACCCAATTGTTTAATTTACTTTTTTAATTTATCTGTTTCCTATATTTACATAATTAAAATTTTATATATATTTATTATATTTAATATCTATATATAAAATAATAATAACTTTTAAAAATAAATAATAATAAATACAAAAAATAAAAATAAAAGTCAAGTAAAGCATATAACCCAAATAAATCACAAATATAGCAATAATAGCTCATACGAATAATAAACCCTGAACTAAATATATAATACACATAATAATAATATATAACAATAATATATCCTATTATACTTTTTCTTTTAGTAAATCAATTATATAAGTATATACCTACAAGTTATCTTGTTATTTATCAGGTTAAATGTCAAATATAAATTTTAAATATTTAGATAGTTACTAAATTCAAAAAATTATACTTAAAAATTTTCAAATTAAATATCAAATATAATTTATACCTACCCCTACCTAAAAATGTTCACCTACTCCACGGCTAAAATTAAAATGATCCAACTTGTAAATCCATTTAATAGAGTGAGCCCAATCTGAAAATCCCCAGCCCCTCGTCGGTAAGACCAGGCAGGCCTAGTCCGTGGAGCCCATGAAATTTAAATGTGGGGGGCTCCATTCAATTCCAACGTGGAGGATCCAGTGGCCCAGAAGTTGGAAATCCAATCCATCTGCATTGCACGAGTGTTGACCAATCAGTGCGGCCATTAATTAGGGGACTAATAAATTAAAGATTTTTTCAACTTCAGTTCGTAAAGTACAAGAGTATAATTATTAAATTTGCTTATATTAATTAATGTTAAAAAAATAAAAAAAAAATAGTTTTTTATTAACTAATTATTTAATTAAAATAGTTCACATAATACTAATAATAAAATTAATGATAGTTTTTTTATTTTTTTAATACTAATTAATATAAAAAATATAATAATTGTACTTTTTAAAGGCATTTGTTATGGTAGCAAAGAAGTTAATACCGTTTCGTACCGGCCGGTATGGCCGATACGTACCGGATTTTTCATTGCACCGAAACGGTATGAAGCTTAATTTCGTTTCGGTCAAATTTCGCTCATTTCGGTCAAATCTCGGTATTCCGCCCGGTATTCCGGCGTACCGGCAGTGTTGACAACCACTTCAAGTGACAACCACTTCAGATTTTTTTGAAGAAGAGAGATCCTCCCTTTCTGGTGGCTGCCGAACCCCTCTCCTTACCGGTGATGAAGGTGGAGGCAGTGATGATGATGAGACGCAAGAAGATGTCAAGGTCAGAGTCCCAAGGGGCTTCCGGCTAGATCTATAT